CAGCACAAAAGTACGCTCGAAATTCTATTCATGTAGCATTACCGTGATTAAAATTCTCACCGAGCTCAGTGGGCCTAGGCTGTTCCCTTCTACCGCGTATAAAAGAACAGAGACGGGCTATGTCGTAGTGCGTAAGTACTGAATACATAACACTTGTAAATCGATAGTTTTTGTGGAGCGGCGCTGTGTGGGGCGACCAGGCTTTCGAGTAATATTGAACATTGAGTAATATTGAAGACTAGCTGTGCCCGCGACTTCGTAAGCGTGGAATTTAAAATAATAAAAATTCTAAAATGAAAGTAGCCTAAGTTACTCCTTATTACATCAGCTATCTGTCAGTGAAAGTTCCGTCCAAATCGGTCCAGCCGTTTCAGAGATTAGCCGGAACAAACAGACAGACAAACAGACAGACAGACAAAAATTGTAAAAAATATTATTTTGGTATATGTACCGTGTATACATCCATATGCATTTATTAAAAAGCGGTTATTTTAATAATACAATTTAATTTATCCGTATAGATAAACGAAAGTCCCGGGAATATTATATTTGTTTCATACAGCACCGTAAGCAGTCCTAAAAGAACCTAACAATGTCTCTAAGAGATTGTTGAAAACATAACATGTCGTTTATATAATATCCAAAGCGGACTTTGAAAAGGCTGTGAAACGCGACGACGATTATGTATGCGCGTGATAATTTATACTTCTTTGGCATCATTAGAAAATGGTTTTAAATTGCGTGACAATAATAAATTACAAAAAAAAAATAATAAAAAGACTTAATATAAATAATAAAATTATGAAAGCGCAATCTACATTCTTTATTGAGAACTGTAACGGGCGAATGTGATTCAGAATATGCTGCCATCTTTAGGTTCTCTTAGGATCTTAGGATCTTTAGGTTTAGCGGGCAGCTTAAAAGGTGTTACTTTTGTGTTACAGTGATGCGCGCGCATTTTAAAATTTCACAAATATTTTTTCGTAACGCGCCTAAAGAAGTATGTTATAACTTCAAAAAAAAAATGATTACTATAGCCCGTGGGTTTCAGTCTTCTGGTTTCTTTGTGTCAGTGCATACGCAATATGCCGAGTCGAAGTAATTGATGACATTATCGTATATTTCTTACAAGATGTCAGCTGGACGAAAGTATTATACTTCCACTTCACGCTGGTCTTCTGTGAGGTCGTGATACTTCCCCAGACGAGCTTGCCCATTCGTGCAACAGCCGAGGTTACTGCGTAGCCCCCAGTTAAATGATGAATAAATATAATATTGTTTTTTGTGCTGAAACTCTTTTTAACCGACTTCAAAAAAGAAGGAGGTTTCTCAATTCGTATATTTATATTTTCTATGTGTGTTCGCGGATAACAACGTCATTTATGAACCGATTTTAATGATTCTTTTTTTGTTGGAAAGAAGATATCCCAAGGGTGGTACCATGATAAGGAAACCTGGGTCTGATGTTGGTATCCCAGATAAATCGGGGACAATTCTCAAATGTTATAGGCGTTGACAATGTTCTTAGTTTCCTGTTTGAAGTCGGTTTTTTTTTGTACAAAATTATTACGTTCGCCATTTCTCTCCACCGCAGATTGCGATTATTCAGACATCTTTGAAATATCATATAATGTAATATATATTTAATAACTATCTCGAAAATATGCAGGTTCCTCGCGAAGTTTTCCTTCACCGCCGAGCACGTGATAAGTCAGTACATAAAATTTCAATTAACAGTTGATAAAAAGAACTAAAACTAGGTTTTAAAACTGCCTAAGGTTTTATTTCGTTTTAGCCTCCAGAGCTTGGGACATCCTAAATCGTGGTGACCCTAACTTACGTTACGACCTTTCTCAGGTCGCTGGTAGGAGCTGCAAAAACAAAATATTTATCAAATATTGGTCATCAAAAGACGGCCTTATTGCTACACAGCAATTTCTTCCAGGCAACCTCCGAAATTTACCAAAAGGAATTGTTGATGGGTGGGATGTATATGAAGGAAATAAAAATAAATAAATAATAAAAGGTAAGTTGCAATCAAAATTAAATTAATAAGAAAAACATACCTCATGTGAGTGATCATAGAGTCAAGGGTCGAAATAAAAAGGGATGGAGAGAGACGTCGAAAGATAGATAGGTAGTATTGTAGATAAGTAGTGGTACTAGACAGACAGATAATGCTCCTTAACCTGTTTTTTTAAAAGAATGTAGGGTTTAAGCACGTTTTATAGTTATAGTTCCAGAGTTTAACAGCAATTTATGGTAAACAGGATTTATGGTAAAAACTAGAGGATTGCATAGGATGTTTAAGGAAGAGGTTTTCATTTGAACGTAGAGGAAGGTTATGAGAGGAGCAAAGAAATTGAAAACGTTCTTTCAAATATTGCGGACTTGATACGTTAAATAGGACGCAGTAAAGAGCAGAAAGAATGTGAGTATTTCGACGAAAACTAATCGGGAGCCACTTGAGCCTAATGCGAAATTTAGATACATGGTCATATTTACGAAGCGCAAATATGAACCGTATACATAGGTTTTGGAGTCGCTCAGGTTTATTAAGTTGTGGTGCTCCTCAGTGTAAAAACATTTTAATTACAGCCACACACAAGACCGACAAAACCCCTTTAAATATCTGTTCTGGTTGCTGTTTCTCCCTTACCGGCGGTGGCCATCATGACTTTAGTCCAATAAGCTCTTTTTTTACAAAGCTTAATAAAAAACCCTTTAAAAACCTAAAAAAAACCGGTTTCTTTTTAAAGTAATCGGTATAAAACCGGTGTGTAAAATTGTAATCGGTTCACATATCTGCTACAGACCCTTGCCGCTAGGCACTTTCCGCCGCGATCACCGCAGACCGAGACACGTTTTCGACTTCCCTAACGATGACACGACTATCGCCATCGAAAGGATTAAAAAACTACGCAAGCACACCAATACACACGGCACTCGCCGGCGAGTGCGGCAAACATATACTAGGCTCCGCCACGTACCTGGCAGGTTCTCCCCAGTTAATGTTAGAAGCGTTGCTGGAGTTTCTTCCGCCACTTCTCCCAGCGCCAACGCTTTACGAAGTGGTAGTGACGATAGTTCTAGAAATTCTCCCAGCCATATAACAGCTACCGATCGAGCCGAGGTCCGGCCCTCTCGGGCACCCTCGTATCGGAATGCTAAACGCGTAATGAGGGACAGCCCAAGCCGAGGTCCCTTCTCGGGGACCCTTGAGCCTAGTCACTCAACGGAACGTCCGCCAAAGCGCCCTAAGAGCTTGGCGGCCTCCCAAACCGGTGATAATAATAGTGTGACGGCCCTAGCCGAGGCTCTCTCAAACTATGCAACGAATCTTGATGCGGTTTTTTTACTAGATAGAGTGATTCAAGAGGAAGGTTTTTTTTCCTATGTTATTAAAAAAAAAAACGTTGCCCTCACTTTAGGATAACATTATCCTGTGTTGCTAGGACGTTTTTTACATACATAAATTTCACGTGGACAAACACCCAGACGCGAAACAACTATCTGTGGGTCACACAAATAGTTGTCCCGAGTGGGAATCGAACCCACGACCCCCGACGCCAATACCTTGACGACTGCTCCACGGAGTCACCATATATGTACAATATATTGCACTCGTGCGAAGCCAGGGCTAGTTTGAGAATAAAACAAAATATTCGTCATAAACGGACTTATCTTATGATTACGTTGACACAGAAGTTTGATTCTTTCACAGTTCAGAAATATCGGAGACCTGAATATTTTATGTTGTGGCAGATAGATGGAAAACAAAATGATCCTGATAGGGATCCCTTGTTCCTTTTCAAGTAAGGAACCCTATAAATGAAACTAGAAAACTTTTATCGTACCTCTCGCTTAATGCAACACGTCATCGGACAAACACCGGCAGACGATCCTATACCAATGGGCCCTTTTTCGTTTTTCGCTTTTCGGAATATCTCCCGTCCGTGTTGCATAAAAGAAAAACTCATACGGGATTGCTTCTCCGTTGATTGGAAAGGTACATGGTGGTAGGTCAGTGCCATTCGCTTTCAAATTACGCTTACGGCAAACGCTGATACTTTAATAATACCTAGAATAGGCTCTTGTTGGAGGTGCCTAAGTATGGCCCCACAGAAAGTTGGCGTGGAGTTATTACTTTTGCGTTTCGTCTAGTGCGTGAGGTAAAAGGTCCACTCTTATTATCTTATCTTAAATATTGTCACAACTGACATCCCACTAGTGATGTCTACGCCCACCAGCTGGAAACCGTACCGGTTTGTTCTAAATATAGATAAAAATAAAACTTGTTATCCATCCTAATCACCGCCCAGCTGTAGAGTTAACAACACACGCAACCTGCACACAAATATATACATATATATATATATATATATATATATATATGTATAAAATCTTCTATTGCCGTACCATAAATCAAAACGCCTGCTGCATGATTGATGGTCCCGTAATTTCTTTCTTAATGCGTAACACGTTACTGGAAACTTTACGACGTATAAAGGCTATTTTGGTCGACGGCCAATTTGGTCAGACGTTAGTTAGATATTACATATAGGAAATACTAGTAACTTATTTTGATGTAAGCTAAGAATAACACGGAGCCGTATACGATTCTTAGCAACTAAGTAAACCTATTGCCCAACTATCAAACAGTGATAGAGCAGACAGTTTTACGTCTTTGGGATTTCTCCATAAAGACTATTCATTATTAGTTATACCGCCATTTTTCTCTTTAAAAGAGCAAATGATAACTTTATAAAATTACGTCCGAGGTTGAAAGGCGGTAACTTGTCTATGTTAAAATAGAACGATTAAAAGTAAACAGATAAATTATAAATACAAATCGTATCGTACGGATGTACATATAAAAATATTCCGATTTTTTTCATGCTTTGTTCGCACTATGCTAAGTAGTATTGTAAAACGTGATGGTGCTCATCCAGTGCGTACGTAGAGCGATGAGAGTGCGAAGCGAATCGGATGAATGTTACCTGGCGGGGCGGTTGGTGCGGCTTCCTTCGGGGGCTGTGTGTTACTCTTGCCGAAGGTCGTTAGCGCTTCGGAGGACTCCCCAGTCAGCCAGCCGACGAGCAACAACGGCAGAATGGCAGCGGCCGCTTGCCTTCTGCACCACATCTCGATCTTCCACAATACACGCATTGCGCGCGATGAGCTTTGGGGCTTTTGCGCGGGAAAATGCGATCGCTCTTTCTTTTTAATAGTGCAGTTCGGTTATATTTTTGTCACCCGTATTGACAGACAGTTCGTGAAATTTTTAATCTGTATTTGAAGATCTAAAGTTATGTCAGAAAAGACCGCGAAGAGATAATATTTTTTTTATCTGTTATAATTTTTCCGATAAGCATTGTATGATTCTATTTACAAATAATGTAGACATGATAATTTTGAACGAGTCTTATGCGGAACAAAATAAAGCAGTTATTTTTGAGAATTGAATTAATCTTTATTACTATGTTGCGATTTTTTCGATACTGTCCGGGTACATTAATAACGTCTTCGATATATTTACCTATAATATAAAATTTAATAATTGCGTAGAAAAAAAACAATAAATTTATTTGAACTTTACGTCGATCCAAATTCAAAAGGGAACGGGACAAAGGCGGTTTAGAATATTACACCTATTTTTTTCGTGATTATAATTGAAGATAATAAAAAAATCGGGATCAAGATGTGGTGTTTTTTCTTCAGTCAAAATATATTTGTGTAAATGATGTTTTGTGATTTATGAATTTGTAATTGTTGTTAACTTAATGTTGAAGTGTTGCATATATATGTATATTAATGTCATTTGAAGAACGTGATGAAATCGGAAAGTAGTTTTGTTTCTTTCAAATATAATCTGTATGATGTTAAGCATGTTAGTATTGACAGGCTTGCTTCAATGTTCACATGCGTGGGATGTTCGGCGTGTTCCGTCTGTAATGTCTCATGTTTAAGCAATAAACAAAATTCTTACCCGGCGATGGAGTAGGTGTCACAGGTTTTGGTGGCTCAGTGTTTGCTTTCCCGAAGGATGAGATGCCAAAGCTCTCGGTTGACTGTACGTGGAGCCATCCGATAATTACAAATGTCAGAATTTTAGGGAGCATTGTTTCACTTTTTGTTACTTTAGTTAAATTTTTAATTACTCTTAAAAATGGATTGTATGTTAGTCAATTTGGTTCTACGTATTTTTCTCTGAAAATGTAATTTTTTTAATCTGTTCCGCTCTTTTTATTTTTCACCAATATTTTTGACAACTGACAGAGTTAGTTGTGAGCGATGTTTTTCGCACTCCTTTTTGACGTTTGTGTTTTGTCTCTTCATTTGTATGTTTAGTTTTTTCTCGTGGTTTTTTCGACAGTGTGCGTGTTGGTGGCGGCTAGAGCGCCATTATGCTATTAAAGCGTTTAGTTTCCGTGAATACTGTGGAAATGTGTCGGTTAAGCCGAGTGGCAGCCGCCAGTGTCGTGACGTAATGGGATAGTGGGGTAGTTAATGTTCACTGTTTTGTATGGAAAATTATAATTATGTAGCCGCGTTATTTGGAGTAGTTTTTGAGTGTGTTCAATTTGCAAACCTTCGCTCCGTTCGTGATTTTGTTTTCTTTAAGAATTTTGTTCGGTTTTTCGGTGTGATTTCGTTTGTTATTTAACACTTAATTGTTTTAAATGTTTCTTGTTTTTTAATTAAATTTTTTTAGTTGATTAATGTCACGTGTCACACTTTAAATGTAATAATTAATATTGATCGTTATTTGAAAGGAAAAACAATCAATTAATTGTACGTAACGAATTCTGTTGACAATAGTTGTTCACTATTAATAACAGAATGTCAGTTTTCGTTGTCCTAAATTCCGTACATAAATCATGCAAGGTCGCGGTACAAATAGGACTAAAACTGATTAAGATTAAAATTTTAGAAAAAAATTTATGCATATTTACAAGCCAATTAGGGTAACAACAAACTGTGGGTAGGGAGAGAATTCGGAAAACTGGTTTTGCATAATAAAACTTGTGAACACGCTGCCCCATTCACGAAAAAAATCTTACCCGAAGGCGCAGTTGGAGGTGGGCTATGGACCGTTGTGTCTGGTCTTATTACTCCGAAAATGGGTCTGAAAGTTCCATCGCAATATCCAGTCAATGATGCAGCTAGGAGCAGAATGATTATTGACCTTTGCCGCATTGGAATACTTAAAACGTTCAAACGATAACTGTACGGGTGTATCTGAAATGTTTTATGTACAAGTTAGTTTGTTTATTCAGAGTATTTACTAATCTGTGATATCCGTGTTCCCATAGTCGGATCGTGGTATTCTGGTAAAGATTTCTTTCTATCAAATGGGACAGTCGATGGAGTTTAATATAGTAAAAATAAATCGAAAATAATGTGCTGCCGATTGGTAGAAGCTCGAAGACGTTTTAGGCCCTCGAGTCTATTGAAAACGGCGTTTGTGCTATACAAGGTTATACTGAGAACGTGTTTAGTATTATTTACATCGGTGTTCGTATCTGTGTTGTGATTGTGCTGTGGTCCCATTGTAGGTTAAAAAAAATCTTTACCAGGCGGAGGTCTGGGGGTCGCTGGGGCCGGCGGCTTGGTGTTTGACACCCCGAAAGTGCTCAGGGCCTCACAGCGCGTCATCCACAACAGGGAGACCGCGACGGCGACCGTCTTTCCGTACCACCACATCCCGAATGATTTTTCACGCGCTCCGTCTCGCTCCGACCGCGTTACTGTCTTTGTCTAGCCGATTCCTTTTTTGAATTTGCAACGACGCTTATTTTCACACGATATTCGAGTTTGTCCCACAAGCGCTTTCTGATTGGATGGCGCGAAGCTTGGACATGAAGCGGGGACTTTTAGGGGTGTGCGATATAGACGTTGCGGGGCGATCGGAAACGTACTTCAGAATTCACCAGTTGTCATACCTAATTAAATGTATAGTGAAAGCGTTCAAGTGTTCTAGTATCTTTTTCATAACATAAAATGCACAAAAGAATTTACTTATACAATTTGAAGTGTTCGTAAATACATGAAAAATTTATAAATGTAATGTTTTAGTAATAACATTTTAAGAGCAACCTCGAAAACGGAAAGAGTTGAAAGTTGATATCCAAGTTATAATGATGCTCCATGCATCATTATCAAAGGAAATGTTACAGAACTATAAACTTAAGAGGTATAAACAATAAGGCGGTCTTATCGCTAAGGAGCGATCTCTTCCAGACAACCTTGTGGTTAAAAATATTTAATTTGGACAACGGTAGGTGGTGTAAATGATAAACTTACATACTAATATATAAATAAACTAAACGAATATGTTGTATTTTTGTATAATAATAATATACTAATATATATACGAAATAAGATCCAATAGACATACATAAATCTAAACATATACTGTACAATAACTTACAAAAATATATACAGGAAGAAAAGTATAAAAAATAAATAACTGACTTTTAAATCATAGCGAGCGTAGTTTCAGTGCATTTTTCGATTCGATACATTCGATGTGATTTTGTCTACTTTCGACGGAATGTATTGGTCTAAAACTCTAAAATGCACATAATTATGTCTAAAAAATTATAAATACAAAGACTAATATTTCCGGGTAATCAAAATTCATTATTATCTAAGTTGTTTCAAAATGTATATTAATTTAAATATGCATGAAAAACATTGTACGTCTTGTTAAATACTAATAATAATGTATGAATTAAATTCGATATCTATTGCTGTTGATAAAATTACCTATAAAATAACTTGAACAATAAAACTAGTTATTCCTTTTTTCAATATTAAAAACGTATTGCAACGTAGCCCACTCGTGCCCTTATATATTATTTTATTATTAACTTTCAATATTTACTAAACTACATCTGTGTCAAACGGTATATAATGCTGAAAAATCTAATTTTTTAATATTAGTAAGATCAGTCAAAGATTAGCGCTGCAGTTGAAGAGAGCGTATCTCTACCCTTTTTCGCGGGCCCCATGTTGGGCGCCATTTGCTACATTGCTGCTCGGTGGTTTGTGGTGGGTTTTGGAACTTGTGATTATTATTTACTGTCCGAAACCACAACCGTTACAAAAACGTCGTGTTAGTAGCCGTTACTTAGTTATGTATTAAAAGTAGTTATGTATGTATCGTTATTAATTTATGACGATAGAATTGTTAATGCCAACGCACAAAATTGATTCAAATATTTACTAGTTTGTTTGGCTTCAAGCTGCAAGCTACTTTTGCTTAGGCAAATAATATAAATTTGTTTTATTTATTTTTATCACGAAACACAACAATTTTACAGTGGGATATAATTTTACAAAGAGATTTTACTGCCCATTTCAGTCATTTTAAATTTTTGTTGCACTTATAGTCTTATGGCCTTTTACGTGTCAAGGTAATGCAAAAACTAGTTTTATGGAAGTGTAGTTTACTTAAGAAGATGTACCCTGTAGCCCCGCAATGTCAAATCGCACCTTTAAGCAATATTGATAAAAGAGTGGTTCACAAAGCAAAGCGCGTTCGTTACAATAATAGTGCAAATAAAATTCTGAATCATAGCAATGACATTAATATGACTTGATTTAGGAATCCTTGATATCCAATATACCAAATTGCTCTGCAACTTTTAAGGACAATTTGTTTTATAAATTTTTCGTCCGAGTTATTATTATAAAAATTGATAAATTATATTTTTATTATTCTTTAATTGTTGAAAAGTAATGCCATAAAATTATAATATATATGTAATCCCTCGACTACATTATTTAATAATATGTAAATATAATGTTAAATGTAGATTTTACAATCATAACGCATTTTGATGGAAATGTATAGTAAAGATTGCAAACACAAATGCATAGGTACTAAGTCGAAATTACCTAGCAGTGATTAGCGAGTGGTAGTTCTAAATGGCGGCTTGTGACAAACAACTTCCAAAGCCGCCATTTTAATATACTCATTAACTGTTAAATAGATAACATTTTTGACGGATAAATAAATTAGCAAAATATTCATACTTTTCAGTAGGTAATTAAAAAAAGAGAATTTAGAAATCCTAAACGGTTTTCGTGCTTTTTTGGTAGTTTTATGTTGCCCATGTATAAGTAAAAATAATCAAGACTTCGAAGCATTCCAAATTTAAATATTTTACTAATTTAATTTTCAGGGTTTATCATTATAATAACCAGAGATAATCCGCCATTTTGATCTGCACCTATTTTGGCCTGACCGAGAGGTGAAGGTAATAAAGATTCAAAAAACGTGCAATGAATTGAAAACAAAGGTCTCGATGTTGTTCAATTACAATATTTATTCGATCCTATTCTTTATTCTACGGTCTAATACCAAAAGCCGAAAATGATTAAGTCATAATATAACATTAATAAAAATAAAATCGAGAGGTTCAGGCTTCATAACATTATTATTTATAATCAAATATAGTTTAAAAAAATGCAATCCTATAAAATTTGTTCCAAGATTTCGGTTTATGTTTTTTCGCATAGTATGTCTGTTTACTCGTTACTGTATTTGCTTATGTGTTAATACCAATTCATATGAATTGAATAATTGCATCGTTTAAAGCCTATTATTATATATAATAGCTAAAATTAAATTTCAATCGACTTACCCTTTATAAGCAGCGCGGCAGAATCAAGTTGTTTTAAGTTACGTAATAAAATATATGATATTATAAATCAAAAGTAAGTACTATGAGGATGCATTTGTGTTCGCGAGTTTTTACTAATTATTGAATGGATGAATGTTTTAAGTGATTTTGCAAACATTGTCTATAAGCGTTTTGTTTTACGATTATTCAACTTATTTAGTGACCCTATATGGTGAAATAACTGGTAACACTAGCATTTTTACATTAAATAACTGGTAAAGGTAAAAATATAAAAAAATGTTTTAGTTTCTAATATTCTCCTTATTAAATACTCTATACTCATTATATCAAAAATTATAACTTGTTATTCAGCAGTGTTTAATGATACTGAAGAACAATAAGTTTTATATTTTTTATGTATTCAGATAAGCTGTTATCTCATTTCCGACGGTAATGAATGAATTGTACTATAAACCACAGATAATATACCAGCGGTAATATTTAAAACTGTGATAAAATATGTATTATTTTATTGACTAGATTAGGTGACAAGTTTTTTCGTTTCAGTACAAAAATGTGATTATGATCACCAGTTTAAATACGATTAATAATAAAAAAATTAGGAATAATCAAATTTAAAAAGTGCTCTTAATTCCTTCTTCAGTTTCTTTTTAATTATATACACAACAAGCCACATCAACAAAAAATAAATAAAAATAAAATCAAAATAAATTGCACAGACAATAAAAGCTTCGTGGGTAAGCGGGTGTCAGACGCGTTTAAGGAGGTTTTATATTTATAATTTTTATTGCATCGGACCAATCGTTTAGTTGTTCCCTTTTATTCGGTTTATTTAAGTCACTGCTCGATGGTGTCTTGTATGAGACTGGGGGGTGGGCTCACGGTTTCTCTGGCTCGGATGGGCTGCGTCGTTGGCGTGCGGTGTTTAGCGCGGGACTAACTCGGCGAGCCGAGGCTCCTTCGCGGCTCAAGGTTGCGCGCTTTCTTGCTACACAGGCTGCTCCGCGCGTCGACCATAGATTATTTTAAGTTTTTTGAAGTTATACTTATTTTGGCGCATTAGGGAAAGAATGATGAGAGTTAATTTTTTACAATGCGCGCGCACACCGTAACGAAAAACCGACACCCTGAAGTTAGCTAGACATCTACGTATGTTTGCGTGAGAACTGACAACTGTATTCACAAGTTTATTTTTTGATATTTGAATAAGCTATTTAACTAGATAATGCGTTATAATAAGACTTTTAATGTATTAAATACCTTTTTTCTATCGTTAGTGTCGTTTTTTCTACAAACGTAAGAATAAGGCGAAAGATAAAATTTTTGAAAAGTTTTTATCTTGTTACGCCAAAGAAGTATAACTTCTAACGCGTGTACATAAGTACACACACACTTAAAAACATCATAATTTGTTACGTATGAAATTATGACGTTACTTCCGTCAGAAAAAGCGTTACTTCCGTCAGAAACTAAAATCTAAGTTACTCCGCAGTCGCGCCTAAAGAAGTTTTACTTCAAAAACTATTTCGTTGTCACGCGGCAGTCGGTACGTTTTTCTTTCGGAGAGATGGGAACGAGCGGGCGGTTCGGCTGATACTAAGTCATCACCGTCGGTAAATACCTCAGGGATGCGTTACAAACCTTCAAAAGAACGGGCTTCAATGGATACATGCAACACTACTACTTGTGTGACCCACATGGAAGTTGTTTGGCATCTGGGTGTTTGTCTGCGTGAAATTTATGTTCGTAAAACGTCATTACAACACAGGATAATATTGTCCTAAAGTAATGGAAATGTTTTTTTTAATTAAAAAAATTTAAGAGCAAGGAAGCTTTGTAATAAAAAAGTAAACAAGCATTATATTCCGGAATAAAAATATTGGGATTATTATCTGTGAGGTGATAGTAGTCTACATATAAAGAGAGACAACGCAGTTTGGCTCCTTCCCTCAGATTGTCGAAATATTTTCTTATTTTTCGGTTACTGTATAACTGGTTGTTTCAGTATTGTCAATAAAAAAAGATGGATAAAAAGTATATATTGTTCTTTAT